AAATTGGGAGCCAAATGATATTATGCTTGTAATGGTTGGTCCGTAAAATATATTTGAATCGTGTGACACCAAGTTTTGCGAACGAGATGGGATTTTCCCCCGTTAAGGGGGTGAAAGGTATTGGTGGAAAACTATATGGTGGAGGGAGTTTCGCACGAAGCGAATGACTGCGATTCGTCCAATTATCGGTTGGCACCAAAAGTGCTGGGTCTGGCTCGCCTGCCAAATGGGAAATAGCCCCAGCGTAGCTGTGCGTTCTGTCTGGAGAGGGGCCGAGAACAGGGGGTGCATAATACCCACTCCCTGTATACGATATGGACTCGAGAGACGTAGACTTTACATCGAACTGCTGAAAGCAAAACGCAGAAAATTGCTCTGCTTTCTTTTTCCTCGTTTTTTTTTGTGTTTTTAAGGCAAGTGGGAAACGCCTGAGAACATAAATGTCGGCTGGGGGGTGGCTTTACGTCGGGTATTTGGACTCTGAGACTAGTAAATGATGTCATTAACGAGACTAAAGTGCTGACTCGTCTCTCACGGATTCTGTCCCTAACCTTCTCACTCTTCTTTCAATCTTTTCAACAACTCCTCCTCTCGCGACGCTTCACATTCACTTTTTTCCATCAACTTTTTTTGTGTGAATTATTTTCTGTCGTAAGATGCATCGATTCCCGATGGTAGAAACTTTGCTCTTCTTCTTCTCCCAGCATCACCTTATATAGTCGAGTTTGAACTTGTTCACCATCTTTATCACAAAGTCGCACACCCCCGAAATTTCTCTCCAAGTTTCGGTTTGACACTCGAATCCCCGATTTATGGCCTGCGCGAGAGCAGAAATATTGAAAATGGGTTATTGGAGATAATGATATTATCTTTTTGTTCTACATCTCTGGGTCTATGAATTTTCATAATTTTCTTTATAGAAATAGTTGGAGAAAATATTGATAAAGAGCAGATCAGACTATTCCTCAAACCTATTTAACAAATCCAATACCAAAATTGCCAAGTATAATTCTCAACATGTATCAATTTTAATGTACCAATTTTGCTGTGCTTAATGACACGTGCGGATGTAAAATATGTTTGTGTGGGACAATGTCTGGCCACAGCTATTTTTCACTACTAGAATGACTAACAATTAATCAAATTTTCCGTACGGCAGAAATACGTGGAATTTCTATTGCGATTGTCCGCAGTAATGTGTCCCACTGATACTCTACCCATATATAAATATAGATATAGCTACTAACAGAGCAGGGTACATGGAGGTACACGGTAATTGGCCCTGGGTATAGTTCCCTGTATGCAGATACGTGCTTCTGTGTTACCTCCCCTCTGGCAGCGACTAATATACTCACACGTGTTGGCAATCGTGTACTGAGGATTTGATTGTCCATGTTGCACGGAGAATTATCGAGTGCGTAAACGCAACCAAAGATCCAGTGTATTATGCACCTTGAACATGCCGAATTTAATACTCACTGTTGGAACTGTTAATGTGAAGCCATTAGGTAGATGCTCTCAGAATCGAAACCCGGACATTGTCTCAAACGGCACAAAGTCTTGACAGATGGGAATTGGTGTAAACTTTATGTCAAGAAATTGTACCATTTTTGTCGTTTTTTTTTTACAAAATGGGAAATTCCCTGTACTAGGTGTGCATTATCTTTTCGTTCTATTCTTCTAATTTGGATATGGATTTGGGAGAAAAAAGGAGGGGCAGTTGCTCATATTCTCTCTTTGTCTCTTTGGTATGCTTTCGACATTTCAATTTTTTTTTCGCATTTTTTAACATTGTCCAGTGAAGTTTAGGAGTCTCCGCTGGTCGGCAAATCATATGCACTGTGTTTCGGTACCCGCTTCTCCCCTCGGCCCCAAAAAAAAACATTCACAACTTGTATGACATTCCTGGTATGAGAAATGAGAAAATTCAACAGATGATTTTGTTTAAAATGCAAATTTCAAAAAATTTCCAAGACCATGAGAATGAGTAAACTTTGATATACAGTGAATTCCACTCATATTGATTTACACAGTGGACTGTGAATCATCTCCGGCGCCTCTGTTGACATTTTTAGTGGCTAGCATCAGTGGTCGTAAGACGGGAGTTAAAGTCATCTTTTCATATATTCTGAATTGGGTTTGTGATTACGTAAAACTACCTCACGACGATAAAAATACACTCACGAAAATTGAATTGATACGTCGGATGATAAGTTGATGTTGCCGCTTCTCTACCAGTCCACAATTAACGATCCACTATCGCGAGAGAGTTGAAAAAAATGCAGTAAGTTGGACGTGATAAAAGTGTACAGGCTATAAATTTCACATTGGCCCAAATATTTCAGGGAGGGAGAGTAAAAAATAAAGACATGGATTTGGTCGGCGGAGAGTGAACAAAAAAACATTTTTTTTTTTCGAGTTTCCGTGCAGTGGAGCTTTTTCCACTGGGCGAAAACTTCTAGGGGAGCTACTTGAAGTCTGGTAGAGAGGATCAACGGTTTTTCCGATAATCAGGATTCATCCGAGTATCAAACTCGCTGGAGCGAATGAACCAACGAGGGGTGGAGAAAATGGTGAATTGTAAAGGGGCTGGGAGGGAGAGGAATAGGCTCACGTAAAATCCGAGTTTTGAGAAGCATGACGTATTTAGTTTCGAGGATTAAACATCAAGGGTTAATAGAGAATTGAATGTTCACTGGCGATTCGTATGATTTATCACCAATAGATCGTGAGAACTTTGGGGAGTTGGTAATGCTCCGAGTGGAGTAAGAAATGCATGAATAAAGTATTTGTTCGGTCTTTCGACAAAAACTTGTGATTTTTCACTCTGCGTGATGGAGGCAATTTGGAAGATTGCTAAAAGCTATTTTGTAATGCGATGGAGCGAGTTTGTGGGTGGGGGATACGACGACATTCTGGTAAAATTGGGGATGCCGCCACCGTGTTTGTATTTTTAATTTTACACGCTGAATTTATATGCAGAGTATCTCGCGTAATTTATCCTTGTACGACAAGCCGATCAGGTTTTTTTTTCATTTTGCGAGAAGAGGAAGAGAAAAAGTTGAACTGATCAGGAAAAATATTTTTATTGAGGTTTTTTTTCGGAGAATATATTTTTTTATGGGAAATAATTTCTTCGCCAAGGAGAAATGGTGTAAATCAATTTATTTTCACTTACCTCCAAGTTTCTTCACCAGTAGCAAGGCGACGCCTAATATCTGTAGTCAGCCGCGCGCCGTCTAACCGAATAAGGACGCCAAATGGGTTTTTGCACGAATTGGCAAAGACGCGTTCGTTCAACGGAGAAAATACCCCTCTCTACACACTACACTGTTCTTTACCCCCCACCCCTTCACCCTCATCTTGCTTCCACCTTTTTGGCTCTGGATTTGCTCTCTCGCGTATAGCTGCCGGGCAAGAACTTAATTATCTGTGAAACAATAGTCAGGGAATTATGATTATTACCCCTGGGGGCCAGTCTACGCAAACGGCAAAACGAAGGGCGCGCGTCGGATACATAGAGGAAGAGAAGCTGGAGAAAACTGGTCGACGGTGTAACCCCCGGGTGATAAAAGTAACAAGAGTAAACTGGCAATTCACTTTTTGTTATTTTTATCCTTATAAATAATTATAAAACCTTGCCAAAAACTTGGAATATGTTTCCCTGAAAATTGTTTTTTACCTTTTCTTTTTTACTTGATTTATAATAATTAGTTTTTTATATTAATAACTTTATTTTATGACACGTTTTTATACGTGCGAATGTATAGTACCGTAAACGTGTAATAATTCATAGTTTACACGCGCTCTTTCCTCTTTCCACCGTCCTCGAGATTCCGTCAGACGTATGTACACCTGGCAGATAAAAGTAGCAGAATTGAATTTTGGATATTGGATAATTTGCAGCTCATTATGAGCTAATTTTGAACGCTTTCAAAAAATTTCCTGCTAATGCCAT